TAAATAAAACCTTGATATCACTGAGAAATCTTGTTTCTGTATTATAAAAAGCTAAACATATTGCTCTTTGTGATAAATAAATAATAGTAGTAAAAAAAATTCATAAAACATAACAAAAAGAAATAAAAGAATAAAAAAACAAAACAAAAACCCAAAATATTAGAAGGTAATTCACAATTTGAGTTTTTTATTACATATTGTTTAGCAACACAACAAGGTTTCAAGGATAAGAGAGGTAAGTATTGGTTGTGGTCATGTGTTGTAAGCCATGTTACCTTGTTAATCAATCAAACATGGGATATCAACATAAAATTAATTGAAAAAGCCTCCCAATTCCAAATGTGTGAGACTTGGCCACGTCAGCTGCAACAACAACAACAAAAATAGAGTCAAATGAAGCACACCATTTGGAAGGGAGTGCAACCCACATAGAGCCACATCCTTTTAGGGTATTATTCCTTTTTCATCCGATGCGCTTTTACTTTAAAGTGACAGTGAGGATCTAAAGAACAGGCCAGCTGGCGAAATCGACGCGAAGGTTCTTCCCGTAGTACGACCCTGACGAAGCAAAACTTGAAGCAGAGAGATATTTTTGGCCTATGCCTAAATGCCATCGCAGCAAAGATTCAGCCAGTGAGAACTCGAAATCTGTTGATCTTTCCTTATTTTTCTTAATCTGACTTGGTCAGCCGGGAAAAAACAATTCGGGCAGTCGAAAAATTTGTTTTCGGGTAGATTTCTTCCAGGGGCGGTGCCGACCCGTCAGCATCAGCAACTCTGTGTTTTCCACTATGGAACGTGCGTGTCTGTTGGATCACACGTGATTAGCACAAGAATTACTCCAGTATGGAATAGTCCTCCTCTGCCAACCTGGGACAACTTCATCTCCTTGCTCCACCCCTCTCTGAGGTATCGTCAAGTGTGAACAGAACCCTAAATACTCTACACACTCAGGTTCTCTTGTGTATCTCTAAAGGATGAGTGAGGTTCTTTGGAGGTGAATAAAATTTTACGGTGATCGTTTATGACTTTCGTCTTTTTTTTAACTTTAAAAACTACAATAGCTGTCATTGCATCTTTCTAATCCATGGCTTTCTTAACTTATGTACGTTTACATAAATGTGTGTATATATATCCATATACATATAGATTTTAATCATGAAAAGCTTGTAATCCACCATCAGTATATATCTATAAATATATATGCATTGGGAAATTTTAAGAAAAGTAAATAAACAGTAAACATAATTCTGTTTCATTCAAAATTATTGGAGAAACCTGTCAAAGCATAATTAGAAAAACAAAAAGATAAAAATACCAAAGATAACTAAATGTGTTTTTTTCTTTTCTATCTATGAGATATTCAAATTTAGATATCAACTACATTGCTATCTATTTTCATTTGTTTAATTCTCTTTAACATCTACAACATTCACTTATGTAATTATTGGTGTCTCATTGTTTAATTTGTCTTAAACTATGTTTTGTGACTTATTAAAGTATTACTTATATTTCTCAGTACTAATAAATGAGTATCACATATTATTAATTTATTTTTTGATTTTTACATATCAAATATATATATATATATATATATATATATATATATATGAGAATGATAAAGTGACCCAAATTTTTACTAAAGTAATCCACTCTATCTTAAGCATTATTGCACCCTTAAAGCCTCCATCCATGTTCTTAGCCATTCCCCATTTCCAACCATTGTTAAGGATGGGGGTGGGAGCTAGGAATGGAGGCAATGGTTGAAAACAAGGGAGCGGTTGGGAACGGAGCATATGGGTTAATTTAGTAAAAATTTGGGTTGCTTTGTCATATATATATATATATATATATATATATACATATATTTAAAAAACATAAAAATAAGTGTCATTTTAATATTTTATTCTTGTTTTGTAAGCAATATTTCATTAGATGTTATGTTGTGTATTTTATTAACACTTATCAAGCAAAAACACATTTAAAAATAATATATGTTTATTTGTATTCGTACACACACATATATACGCAAATATATATATATATATATATATATATATATATATTACAATTTTTTTTTTGATAGGGCCATTAGAACATGTCTTTACATATTTCCAAACATGTCTACAACACAACACAATTCAATAGTTATAAAATATATGTATAGAGTTTGATAGTATCTTTTGTGTATAATAAAATATTAATGTGGTTTGAATTATTTTGTGTTGGTACAATATTAGTTGGTAATTATATATAAATATACATCTCTATAAATATAGACATATACTTTTAAATTCTAAGTTTTTAAAATAGAAAATAATAGTATTCTATTTATATAGTATATTTTTGTATATAAAGACTTTACAAATGTGAAATTTGGGATTAATTTATTTAAAATATAATCTTTTCAAGGATTTTTTTTCTAATTTTTATTGTGCATCTTATCTTTTGCAATTTCAAATTGTATTCATTGTACAATTTTCAAGGACGAATCATAATTACAATTTTAATTTTTAAACTCTTAGAATGTAACATTAGAATACCTTAAACCAACAATTTAAGGTTTTTTAGCAATCTCATGGGGGGGTTGGAAAGAAAAAAAAATGGTGGAGAAATAAGGTTCTAATATACTCCAAAAAAAAATTTAAAAAGCTGTAGTGGTTTTATTGATATATAATTTTAAAGTGTTTTACACTTTGAGCCTCTCAACCAATGCATAGACTTGGCCAAAATAATCCATAAAAACATATCAAACCACCAACTTTTTCCTTGTAAAGTTTGCTGATTGTTGGTAGGTTTTGAATAGACTTGGAATCTTTCTATAGGAAGAATGGTTGGTTTTGGGTTTGTGCAATAGTGGCTTCTAACAAGGTCTATGGATTGGTTTAGGAGCATGACACAATTTAAGGTATTTTGACGTTAATTCTTCCTACTTAATATAGTACCATAACCACCTATACAATCATTAACATAACATCTACCAGATTATATAAATGGATTTTGTGCAAATATTTGAGATTCTATTTTTTACAAAATAATTAAGAAATATTGTAAATTTCAAACATTGGATGACTATTTTTGTTTTATTTCATACCAAGGTTGTAATCAAACATAAAATAAAAACCATAACTACAGAAAACAAAACAAGTGAAAACTGGCAAATAAAATTTCCCTAGTGTTTCCCTGAAAACAGCATCATCTTCAGAGACGACTACAACCTTGCCTAAAAAATGTTGGCATCTTTTAAATAAATTCTTACTATTTATGTCAATTTCATTCAAAGCTGGAACAAGATCACAAGTCAATTTATTTATAGAAAATAAATAAATAAGAAAATTTTAAAATTGGCCATAAAATTTTAGCATGAAGATTAAAACATATTGACAGGGTGTCCATAATTGAGAAGTTCTGCAAAAATTCTCTTCTAAATTTTATTTAAAAGTAATAACACAGTACTTTGATTTTTTTAACAAACAGAATTGCATTTAATATCTCAACACTAACATGGGTATGTGTTGCTACATGTAAATCTATACCTCAAGGCACTTTTTATTCCTCTGAATTTTATGTTTGTCATCAAAAGGATAGCTAAATAATTGCATGATTAAACATCTTGTACTTAAAATTTTGAATTGATAGCGATTTTTACATTATCTTCTAGTGGGATCTCACATTCTAAAACATTGTCAACAACGTTCATAAATTTTGTATATTTTTATAAAAAATTCATAGTTTTCAATTCAACAAATTGCAAAAATTGATGGATGTTTTGGTATATACTATTTTCATAATGAAATAAAACCGAGAAGGAGAATCAAATAATTGGTTCATCAAATGACTTGAAATTAGTATTTATTCTCAAAAATTGCTCTTGGATATAAGGATAGTTTAACTGTCTTTATTGATACCATAGTTTATTAGAAATTGTTTGTATGTAAGAACAATGGAATGTGTGCTCATGTTTATTAAACTAAATATTAAAAATTTAAAAGGATAGAGGTAAAATCACTTTGTAATGGTTTTTCTATGATCATAAACCTCTGTTTTCATCTATTTTAAATGCTATGATGTAATTATTCTTGGAAAACTAATGCAAAAACGTTTGATGTATTGATGCTCAATAGATTACATTTTCATTTTTTTTTTAACATTCATAATTCAAAATAAAAAAATAAAAAAAATAAAAAAAACTTGTAAATGTTTGAACAGTCTGTAATATATCTTTATCACACAATCAGAAGTGTGTATTCATACATGTGTGTGTGTGTGTGTGTGGTAATCTTAAAAATCCCAATCACAAGATAGTTTCATATGCTATTGTTTTAACCAAATGATACCCTTAAATTAGACTTGTGAAATAAAACCATATGTTGCATAGAAATGGAAGATTTAGAATAAAAGAAGTCACATTGAAATAAATCTCTGAAGTGATAATAAAATGTGTTGCAAATCCAGTGAGCTTTCCTTTTATTTATTTTAATTTTTAAAGTATAAGTGAATTATTTGGATGGCCTCTAGTTCAAGTACCCCAGGCTTCACATCCAATTTCGTCACTTCGTTGACCATTGACCAGATAGTAACATCCAAAAGGAATAATCCGAATCTCACACCGAATCCCTTTTCACACTGGCACCATCCTCATCCAAACCAAACTCCCGATTCACAGTGTATTCATCCGGAGAGTGTGAACGCGCGGCTATGGGCTCCCCTTCCTCCCCCAGATACTCCCTTTCAGACGATAGAGAGAGAGCTTCGATGCGTGTGAGTGTGAGTGAGTGCGTGTGTTTGTCTGATGATGAGTTTGCAACGGGAGTTATATCCCCGCGAGGCCTCCTCCTCTTCAAAGCTGGACCCCGCTCTGCCCCGCCTCCGCCATCACTTAACTCCTGCCCCTCGCTCGCCCGCATTCCTCACAATTGCCCGCACAGATTCATGCCCATCGTGTCGTCGCTCACACGGTTCGTTTCTCCCCGTTCGCTGCTCTTTCTCTCATCTGTTTTCGTCGTCACTGTGGTGAGATATCGATCGTGCTTTGAGGTTTCAGTGTGCGGGAGGGGGGGAAGGGGGAGAACAAATTGGTTGGCTAAGCGGGCAACGGAGCGGGGTTCGGGGTTGGTTAGGGGATGAGGAGGAGGTCCGTGGCCTGGAAATGGTGAGAACGGGCCTTGGAAGCGAGTGGTGAGGGATGAGTGATGAGTGAGAGCGACGGTGCAGAGGGTGGGAAGGGCCTTTGGAAGTGGAGGTTGTGGAGTTTAGGGCTTGGCAAGGGAGGGGAGGACGAAGGAGACGCAATGACTATGGCGTCTGCGCCAGCGGTGCAACGGCTGTACGACGTGTGTAAGAAAGTGTTCACGTCGACTGGTGTGCCCTCGGAAGCGCAAGTTGCTAACGTGCGAGCCGTCCTAGGTACATTCCTCGATGCTCCCTGTTGGTCGCAAAGTGTTTTTCTGGTGTAAGGAATGGATCGAACATTCGATGGCAATTCGAGGAGTCCGTGTCGCGGTGTTGACTGGACAATTGCTGCACTGGTGAAATTTGGTCATGCGGTATCTCTGTGATGAGAGTTTGAATTGACGAGCGTTGCGATTGTTTAAAAGCTATGTCAACATCGTCGTGTTCAGGTCCTTTGCGTTCTAGGAATTAGAGTTTAGGTGTTCAAAGATGCACAGTTCTTTGTAGATGTTCCGCAAGCGATCAGTCTGTAAGTTATTTTTCTATTAGGCTGAGTCTCACAAGAACGATTTTGCGTTAGAAACATTTTGCTACTGAGGTTGAATTCCTTGGAATTTTGTTCACTGTTGATCGGCGGCTTCTTCTTTCGTCAATAAGTGCACAGCGGCTTGTTGAGCCGGGACGGGGGGTTTGCATACTGGCTGTGAAGAGACTAGTTTTTTGAGTTTGGATTATTATGCTGAAGTTTGCTCAGAGAGTTAATATATTGGTGGTGGGGTCCGTGCAGATAACATAAAGCCGTCAGATCTTGGGTTGGTTAATGACGAGCAGCAGAATGGAGGTGATCGATGCTTTACTGGTGACGGTAAAGGCAATTGGCTCAGGCCAAGATATTCACTCCCAATCAGCTATCTTCACCTTTACGAGTGCGACCTATTCTCTGTAAGAACTGCATCCGACTTGTTGAAATTTCGTAAGTTTCTTTGTGCTTGGTGCTTGTCAAAGACACTTCGCATCCTTCTCATGGATTTTTGGATCTGAATGGAAAGTCAAAGTTCACTTCACTCGGGGGTGAGTGTTGGCAGTCATGTCCAATAGGTGTTTAATGTGATCTTTGAGGAGCACTGTAGGAACCACCTTAGTCGTGCAAATCACCTTCTGGTGCTGTGTCTGTTAGGCATGTTCTCGTCTCGTTTCGAAGCTTGAATCACATTTTCAGTCGCGGAAGGCAGATCGAAATGGTTACCCTTCTGAACGGTGTACTTTCTGTGTGTCTGTTGAGTGTCTGCTGTTAAGCTGATTATACGAGTTGGTGGTGTATGCCTGTGAAGATGGGCGTTTTTGTTCTTCCTACATCAGCGAGTATACCTCTTCACAACCATCCAGGCATGACCGTACTCAGTCGCCTGCTTTATGGAAAAATGCATGTGAGGGCCTATGACTGGGTGGATCCTCATGATGAGAGGTTGAACAAAAACCCGAGAATAGGTGAGTCCCTTGTCAGCAGGTTCGATAGGTCAGAAGTTTGAACAGAAAAATGTATGTGATTTTTTAATTCCCCTCAGATTATGTTACTATTTTTGGCTCTTATTCATCTTTTGCTACTGTTCGTCAATTATGCATTTTCTAAACAGCACTATGAAGTTTCTTTATAATATGTTATGGAATTGTGTAATAATATTATAAGATCTTTGATGCAGCACGACAAGCGAAATTGGTAGTAGATCACGTGCTAGGAGCAGAATCAAATGGAACAGAGCCACAACGAGCTTCTGCAACGGAGGTACTGTATCCCACGTCGGGTGGTAACATTCATGCCTTCACTGCCCTTACGCCATGTGCTGTGCTGGATGTGCTAGCTCCACCATATTCACCGGCAACTGGCCGACATTGCACATACTACCGTGCCACTTCAAGTGATGGTGAGTGATGTTCTATTATTTCTTCGTGGTTGTAGGATGGGATCTATTTTCTTTTTAGCTGGCAGCATTGTGATGGTAAACGTACGGAAGGCTCTGGTTGGGAAGTTAAGAGGGAGGTTTTGGGATTTTGCTCGGAATTACCCTCGGCCAGATTATTTAAGATTGCTTAAGTAGAGAACGTTGCAAATTGGAGTGAACTTGTGCTGTATGCAAGTACATATTCACAGTGGTTAGTTTCATCTTGGCATATACAATTCACTGATTCAATTTCTATCTGTTGGTTTGACCAGGAACGGTTGAAGGATGCGATCAAATTGAGTGGCTGGAAGAATTTCGCACACCTAATGATTTTGTGGTGCAACAGGGTGATTATCAGGGTCCCAGAATTATTCCAACCCCTAGGTAGAGTTTGCTACCAGCTTCTAGTTGTGTCATACGTTAGGATTAAGAAAAATTTGACCCTTCATGGTGCTTCCGATTTTTGAAACGGCTGCAGATCTTGTCAACGTGGCAGTTGTTAAATTATCATATTGAAAGCTGAATTGCCATCCTAGAGAGTCTACTGCATAAAAATATTTTCTGGATATCTATGTGTTGACATTATTATAGAGAGAGAAAAGGTTGAAGTGAGCAGATAATCTAAATGGAAATTGGACCATACCTTGCTGTAAACTGTGAATCCATCATGACTGGAATTGGAGTTCTTTGCGAAGTGTCAACTTTTGAGTTTTGTGGACGTAGCAACGTTGTCTCGTAGTATAACTAACTACAACTGCTTGGATTATTGAATGTTCTTTGAACTTAGGGTTTTGCATTCTGGATTTATGATATCGGTAGGGCAAGCAAATGTAATGAATATAGTGCATTTATTACTATTATAAATGTAAGAGTGTCTTGTGTACTACTTGTGCACGCCGTTACCTCGCCTTGAACAGGTGTTCTACCCAGAAAGTAAATACAAGACAAAATTATCTTTGGTACTTACTTTCGCCGATTTTGATTGCCGGCTCTGAAGCAGAGGCACTGCCGGAGTTGCTGTTCGAGTTGGCCATCGTAATGGCTTGCATAAACTTGGGGATCAATTGAAGATCAAGAAATCAAGGAAAAGTCAAGACCACACAACTAGAATCAGAGATATCAAAGCTGCCCTTCCATTGCGGCGTAGGGTGTGTAGTGGGAGTGTGGAATAAGAGTGCAGGCTTTAAATTAGACTGTGGCTGCTTTCTTGAAGAGCACAGGCGACGAGTAGATTTTTCTCCGAGCATACCCTAATGAGTTCACGGTCGGCTAAATGCTCTTCTGAAGTGTCTGATTCGTGCTCGGAAGTCCTCAGAAGTGCAATATTTAGTCCTTAAAATGGCACATAATTGCTTCAATTCTTGGAGAAACTTCCATGTAAGTGAAAGTAAAATTAGGTATCGGGGGTTTTGTAATTACAAGTGTGAATAGCGTATGCTGCGTTCAACCAGTCATAGGATCCGAAGGTCGATTACAATTCTACAAATGTTATCTTGTTGGAAAAAACAGCTGCGCTTGTATCAGCTTTTGGGAACATTAAGGCTAACTTAATGCATGAGAAGTCTGACTTGTGAAGAAGTCTAACGGTACAGGGTCCTCCGCACCTTCGCAAACGGCACATGGACAAACCACATGGATGAGATCTTCGGTGCTACAGTGGGGCTGAATTGGCAATAGTCGTAAGGTCCACTACCATACCATATTATCTTAAATTGTGGAGACTAGATGACTGCGGTGGGAGAGCATGAAGAAGTGGAAATCCTGTCACCCACACGCAACTTGCACAAAAACAGCTTCAGCTTCACGATAGACAATAAAGAGGTTGTGTCTAAAATTTTCCATCCATAATATAATTTCATGGATGTAATGGATTTGATATATGTAAGCTACACCCAATAATGTAAGCAACAGTTGTAAACATACACAACCAGAGTAATTTGTTACCCTCGGTTTTTGACAAGTCACTAGATGGGTCATCTTTTGAACCTAATTCTCCTGTCTCCTTTTCAAATCTAGGGTTCTCTTCCTTCGGATCAGAACTCCTGGATAAGGGAGAAGTGGCCCCATGTTCGACTACAGGAGTTCCACTGGCTTCTGAATAAAAGCTTGATCTCCTACTCTGAGTTCGAGACGCATGCCCCACCGAGCCTTCCTGAGCTTTAGAGGACCTTGTTGCCAACATCTCCATTTCTCTGTCCCACACACCAACTATGGCATTTCCAGATACGCCTGTGTGCTCTCCACTATCACTGCCATCTACCCTCACAGGCACGCGAACATCTCCGTTGTTACCAAAGCCCCTGAATGTATTTTCACTAGCATCTTTATTCGAATAGCGTATTGAATGGGATTCTGACTGGTCTCTAGTCCGCGCAGCTCCGGTTTCTCGCCTAACCCTATCTGCATTCCTATTCGATCCTGAAACTCTACCATGTCCATTACCATGGGCCTTTGGACTACTGTTGATCTCAACACTGGAATCCTTCCTTCGCGTCCGAACTATTTCTGCTTCGTCATCACTTTCAAACTCTCCATTTTTCGCTTTGGCCTCTATACTCGCAGCTATCTCTTCACCAAGGCTCACACCAATGTCTTCTACAGTTTCGGCCCCTGAATCACCGTAAACCTTGATGTATGGAGAGAAGGAGCCCTCATTTTCGTCACTGTCCTCCTCTTCCTCGTCAACATAGGATTTGTACGTGAGAGCTAATCGAACCCTTCCAGGCACCTTTTTGAGCCCAAACAGACCATCTCGCTTCAAGTTCAACCACATGGTGCGTGGCACGCAATCCTGAAGAATTTACATGATACTCAGAGCTGGGAACAAATGACGTAGCCACAAAATTGCAACAAGTTGATTAGAAAACTACAAGCTTCAATATCCATGCTGGCGTGACATAATACTTATGAGCATCCTGCCTGAAGAGATCAACCCCATGTTGTCATTGATTGATACAAACTCAAAGACGCTCAGATAAGTTTAATTCATGGGTGCCAGAGTGATACCAAAACAGAGGCTTAAGAGTTTTGTTCTTGAAAACTCTACTTCTGGCCATCAGTAGAGCCTCGAAACAGCTCTGTTCTGTTCTGGTGCCATTCTGAAACCCATCATCGACAAACAATTGGATACTAACACCTGAAACAATGAAAATTACAATGATTCTGGTACTTACCCTGAGCTCTGCCAGATTTATCTCACAATAGCCTATGTTGGGGTTTAAGGTCATTGCGCTGTCCCGAACACGAAGCATCAGCCTCTGTCTCCTAGGATCCTCGACCAATAACAGGAAATCTTGATTCCAAACTGGGTCCTTGGGACCAGATGGGTGTGAGGTTTCTTTATTTCTCTTGCTTTCTAAAACTTGGTCTCCCAGTGAGAGAATACAATAAGGATTACTCCAACCTGTAAATCCACGGATAGGAAGGCCACGAGCGTCACAGATGGTGACAGAGAGCTCCCCAACAAAGACCTCGCTCGGGTCGTCCTGTGGAACAGCCGGCTCGGTAGACGTAGTTTTCAGCAGGTCCAGAACGCCTGATGCAATCGACTCATCCATAGATTCTTCCATTGCCTTCATGGAATCCATGACATTCTGACCTTGGGGCAAGAAGTCGAAGGTAATGTGTCGTGGAAGAACCAGTAGGCGAGGAAGATCCACTGTCAACAGCTTCGAGAGAAAATTGTTTAAAAATGGGATGGAAAAGAGGTTAACAACTCTAAAGGGGGCCAAGACAAGTTTGATTGTCGGCAATCGCACAAAAGCCAGAGAGAGAGTCCCAACGTATGGACTCACTGGAGCTAATCGCAGTTTCACCCAAAGCTCTGCATCCACGTCAAGCTCATACACTCCAACTGGAATGGAGGTCTCGAAGCCTGCCCGCCCAAGTTTCAAGTTAAGCAAACACCTCGCACCGCCAGCGTATCGCAACCCGAAGTGATATTGCAAATCGTTCGCTCGTCTGTCAATCATTACATTGTAGATGTTAGTATCCTTTAGCTTGAGGCAAATAAGCTACACAGTGAAAACCATATGAGGATGGAAAAAAATGAAATAAAGTGACATGAAAACTCACCTGGATGCACGGCGCTGTACATTGCGCACAATAATTGGCTCATAATCTAAGTTGAGTTCTACAATTTTCACCCTCTTTACCCAATTGGGCTTTCCCAAATTATCAATAGCCGGTTGCAGAAGCTGAACCAACCATACCTCGAGGCTCCGCCTGTACACTTTCCAGACTTTGTGAATCACCATGTTCACCCATTCCACGGATTCCTTTTGACCTTGGATCGAGCCCATCTCTGGCATGTTTGCAGTTCCTCTCTCGACAGACGTAGCCCTAAAGTAGCGTTCTTCCAAACTCCAAACCTTCGCTAACATTCCCGCAAAAAGAAAGGCAAATACTGCTCCAATTAATGCAAATAGGAAATCTCGAAGTGGACCAGCTCCCGGCAGGAAGGAGATCGAGCGATGAACAGCTTGCGCATGAACCACTGTGCTATCTTTTCTCTGTCTTGCAGAATACGAAATCGACATCCTATTATTTGTCATGAACGCATGCGGCCCTGTAGTAGCAAGGCTCCAGGGTATATTTCTACCAATCTGAGGTTTCCAAGACTGGTCTACTCGACGCAGCTGAGACTCAGGCACTCGGCAAATTCGAGAAGTTGGCAACACTTTAGACCGATGATACTTCATTGACCCGGCAGTATCATAGCTCCCAAGAGACCTAGAGGATGGTGCCCTTAACGTAACAAATTGCTCATGGTTTTCATCTATTACAGGTAATAGCAATACCATTGATTGAGAGGATGTATTCTGACATGATGTTGATTGTGTATGGTACATGATTTTGAGAAACTGGTGTGCTTGCGCCATTTCTAACATCCGAAGTCCTCACAAATTATCCCCTAGGATTAAATTTTGTTGTCGCTAAACTACATAGAGAGATACGTGAAGCGGTCTGAAAAGACGACGATTTGCTTTGGTGCAAAAGGCTTCACAAGCCCATGTGCATCGATACGGGCCCTGAGAACCAAAAATAAAAACGAATAAAATGATGAATTTTTTCTCAGATCACTTTCAAAAAAACAAGGTCACAGTGAATACTGGGCATAGGTCATGGTCACCTCGAGAAATCGTTCCTTGAGCGACGACTACTTGGATAGGAGTAGGACTCCTCGCCTTGAAAATGACGACCAGAATGAAGAATGCGTTGCAAAAATCACTATGATCTCAATACAGCTCCAACAATCTCCGCAGTATTATAAGAATAAGAATAATATCCCTTAAATCCTTTCCTACAGCGTCTTCGAAATTCTCAAGTCCAAGCGCAAAATCAATGCCATGCTAGTCGACGAAGAATGCTCCGCCTTCTTCTGTTATCTCAAACCTCCACATAAAGAGAGCTCCGATGCGCGCTCATGAAGTGCTTTCCAACCACATCCCCAAACCTAAGCACAATGACCGCCCTCCATCATCTCTCAACGCCCGTCCCCCTCCTTCCCCTCCCCGGCTCTTACGCGACCCGCACCCACATTTATATCCTCAAATCCTCAGACGTTCACACCATATCCCTCTTTCATCAGCACAAGCACTTGCAATCCACTCCAACTACGCCATTGCCAATTCTACTACTAGCTCCAGCCCTTCAACCCGAGAACAAGATCCAAGAACCTGGCCGAGGCTTGCGGCAATTGGGTGCACGCAGTAACGATCACAAGTCAGTTCCACAATTCCCACCGAATGCTCCCAAGTCACATGACATGCCAGCAGCAGCAAACGCCTCCTGCAGATTAGCGCAGGAGCTGTCACAACGCGCTCGTTCGTAACCAATCTTGCCTGGAAACCTAGATCTTCTGCCGCGTATGTTTCCATAGAATAGACCGTTTTCAACAGTTGCATCTTCAACGGAGAGCTAATCTTTGGAGTTATGAAGAATTTTCTGGACACCCAGGGAAGAGTGAGTGGATTGGAGGCCCAGTCTGGTCCACAGGAGCGGGACCCACTTGGTTTCGGTGACGCATGGGCAAAAGGCGGAGCACGTGGCACCGAAATTGCCTTGCCTCGTGGAATACAAGATTGCGGAGGCGACCTCGAACACAACCCATGCGATGAATTGTGCTGTGGAGTTACCGATCCCGTGTCCAACCACATCAGGCAGAGTGGTGGCATTAAGGATAGTAGACCAGCCCATGTGTACCTACTGTGAATTCAACGCAATGTAGGGGTTGACAAAAGCTCCGTGGCCGCGGACGCAAACCAAATACAAAAACGCACTCATGCTTTATTGCTGGCGCAATGTCGTTGCCTGTAGGGCCGGAAACGTGTTCAATCCTCGGCATTCTTTTGAAACAACTAGTCAGACGCAGGGACAGTGGAGGAGAGTGCAAGTTTTGCAGCATTCATTGGCCAAGAAGATTTAATCAGTCTTTCAGCTGTTAGGTCAAATTGTCAACAGGAAAAAAGGCTCCTCAATCCGTTCATCTCTGACGATGATGGTTTGCCGCTTTTGGGGCGTAAGAGTTCAAGATTAGCTTTTTGCTGGGAAGCTACAGAAATCAGCAACTCAGAGTTTTCTGGAAAAGAGTAGGTGCCCATTGACAGTGATCGAGCTTTGCTCTGGATGCTTGAATAGAGCACGAGTGTTGGTGATTCAACAAAAAGAAAAGAAATTTGGATCACGCAATGCAGTGTTTTAAGTCATTGAGATTTAGACCGAGTTGGGAAAAGCTGCTGTACAATGTGGAGCTTCTTTTTGGTGAGAATGTTTTTGTACCCAACTTGCTTGTGTTGTATTTGGTCACTCCAATCAAAGCGTTCCAAGAAGACAACTGATGGCACTTCAAAGTTGGCATGCTTCATAAGAGAAAGCCTATGTGCCTATACAATTCCAATGGTGTCCACTAATGTCTTGAATTTCACACCCCTGGCAAGCCACCATCTACCGTAGAATACAATTAAAGCAAATCTAGAAGCATCTGCAGCCGCAAACCATCCAGTTGAACGGTGAAGGATGGTGTATTCTGTGTGCTAAAGCATGCAGTTTCAGTAACTGATCAAGTGTTGATCTGCTTTTCACAGCATTCCACAGAAAATATGCTTGGAGTACCTGAAAAGTGTACAAGAGAGCAGTTAGAAATGCGGTAGTGCGTTAGATAATGATACAGCAGGAGAAGCGAGGTCAGGGATTCCACTGTTGATGTGTTTCCGTCATCTGCAGAACATAGACCCCAATGAAACGTATGAAGATTACAGAAGAAAGGTTTATGGCATAACAAAGAAACCTATCGTCGCTCTTCTAGCATGACGTGAATACAACACTCTAAGTCTGCAGCAGCGCTGGAAAGACAATGTCCACATGCAGAAAACACTAAATTTTTGTCTTGGAACCAATCATTCTGACACAGTTTCAACATATACAATCTTGGACATTCCTGTTACAACCTCCCACTTTCTACAATCTTTCTGCCTTTCCGTGACCTTCACACGGCTCATTCGAAGCATACGTATATTCACCAACGCGTGTAGAAAACTACAAGAAATCACTCTGCTCAAGAGCAATGTTTACTCTTACCTTGACCTTGGCGAGGTATTAAGCTCCATGACTCATGTAGGCGCCAAACTTCCTGAACTTACTCAGAATTGCACAAGTTTCAGTATGATATGCAAAGTTCAGTAAGTTTCTACTGTCTCCATGCATTTCAAACCAAAGCCTACACAAGGAACCTTGTGTGGGATATAAATTGCAAATGAGGCACCTAAGTTTTGGTGAATTGGAAGATTAAATTAGTGTAGTATAATGGACAAGGCACATCCTTTAAAATTGTGGATACCTAAACTACCCTGCAATCAACTGATACTGTTCCTAGTAGCAATGGTAATATCCCCCCGATGAATTTCCCGAATATGGTTTGAAATTGATCTTGTTAAGAATTGAAACTAACTGAAATATAGACCAAGCTAAGACATTCAAGCATTTACATTCAAGCTTTTCACTGTAAGGTCCCAGATGGCCTCATTTGCTGCAGCATCAACAACAGCATTGCCTTCCAAAATCTTCACATTACCGTCGGCGTCGGCTGTTCACGTTCAGCACAGGCGATCAATAAAAAGATGACCATGGCATGAATGGCTTCATCAAGCAGCCCGTCAACAAAGCAAGAGGGATTTAACTAGAACGGCAATTTTCCAACCGAAAACTAAGGTCAGCATTCTTCCCCTCGGGCTGATGTTTTGCGGCCCATGTTTCTAGAGCAAGTAAACATGAGCTTTGCACGCTTCAAACCCGGACACAGTGCCTCAACAAAGTCATCCCCTCCAAAACAGTTTAAAAATTAGTTATCGACAACCTTAAAAATCTTTTTCAACGTTCGATTGAGACTGAAGAAGAAGAAGAAGAATACGATATAGTATTCAAGGTTTTAAAATCGGAACGGAAAGAAATGCACCTGCTGGACACCATCCTAACAAAATCGTCACGCTTCAGGCTACCACAAACTCCAGCTCCCCAATTATCAGCCCCATTGATGTTCCGAACTAGAAACCAGGCGAACACGCAGCTCCCGCTCTGTTCTCATACACTGCGCATTAATGCCCAACCTCCCAACGCCCCGACCCACAAATCCAGTTGTTCGTTGATATGAATGGTGGTGACCCAGCTGTCGTACTCATCTCCGCGGAGATGAGACAACGCGGGATTTGCCTGCACCGACACCATTGCTGGATTTGCGATGCAGGATTAACGCAATTCCAACTCCAAATCCAACCCTGAAGAGCTGCGATGCAACAATCGATCCACAACGCTCATCGCCTTCTGCTCGATGAAAAGAGCTCGCTTGCCAGCAGAGCTGTAGGAAACAACAAAATGAATACGTGGCTTGTGTGACTCAGCGCTCCCTCTCAACACACCCCTCAACATCCTACGTGGCATTCGACACGTCAGTTTTCTCGCTGCTTCTAACTTGTGTGTTTTTTAGTCGGAGTACCCAATGAATGCTCCACTGCAGTGTCAAATTTTGGTTTGAAAGGTTGTGGAAATCATTATAAGGTCATGTCTCACTTGTTATTGTCCGAATGACACAAGTGTAGTAATAAATCTGTGCAATAGGCGTTTAGTCTTGAACAATTTGTGCAATAGGTGTTTAAAAAGAAATATAAAAAGTAAAAAGTAACTTTTTTTTTGGTCAAGAACACATCTATCAAATGAGTGTATTGTTTACAAATATAAGGTAAGTGTGTTTAGATCTCATGATTGAAGATATGCTAAAAAAGATTTAGATGTTGATAAGTTTTGCTATCCAAAGCAAAAATTTAAAATTATAATTAAATATCTAATTATATACAATTTTGTAAAATACTCAATGACTAGCATGATTGAAGAATAATGATAAAAAAATAAAAAATAAAAAATGACATGTATAAATCATGGGCCCTTAATTTAAACTTTATTCCTTTAAATGTGCACATGCCTAAATTGGTGATTTTATTATGTAAGTGACGAGATTTAAAAGAAGACATCTTAGAGCAAATTATGTTGTTTCTTTTTGAAATAAAGGGAGAAAAACATAAAAAAAAACATAAAAAAAAAAAAACAAAACAAAACAAAAAACAAAACACTCGAACCTATTCAAAAACCGACTACTGTTAAGGGGATATATATGTACACATATACGTGTATGTTTAAGATAATTTTAAAAGGTTTTGGTCATATATGCTCTACAAGATCTTATCTTGTGCAAAAAGTCTTCTCTAGCACAAAACAAAACTCCAAGAAAATGATGAAGTTCAAATTGTAACACATCGTATATACATTGGCACCTAAAATTGCTAAATAGAAGCTTAGACATCACATCTTTCATTCTTCACCCTTGGGTTTTGCCCAAATCTATCATATTATCATGCTGGTACAAAATATTAAACATAAATACTGTTTCCTTGAGCTGCGTTTTCTAAATTTTTATTTTAATGTACCAAAATTTAATGATTAGAGAGCATGCGTGTCTTAAGAATCTTAACAAGAATTTCTAACGAGTCAAATTGTAATCATTAAGAGTTCTACATCTATGAGGGTGTGGGAAGGGGCGCCCTGAGTGTGCTCACACATCTTGATATCGTACATCCAAAATGGACAGAATAATACATCGAGAGCCAATGGATGAATGAAACAAGGTAGAACATCCTTAAGCAAGCATCGGGGAATTGTGAGCCTTCGGATGCAGGATTCGTCTTGACCCCGACGAAAGGCCAACGAAAGAGCAGCCTGCTGCTGCCCTCGGGAAGCCGCGAGAATAGAGCTTTTGAGATCCAGTAGTAGTAGTAGTATCAGTGTGCCCGCTTGTAATAGTCTGTCTCTATGCGTGGCATCTCTATGCGAAGCATGTGATGAATCCATGATCTCATGTCGCTCGTCGGCCACGTTCTCCGCACCACCTGCATAGCACCTAATTCGCAGCCTGGTGGTACGCATCCCATCACTTGTTCAATTCTGTGATAGCAGCATTGAGCTTGCAATGCGGTGAAGAGAACAATACGGTAGTAGTTGGGAAGGAAGGACGAGACGAGATCAGTATGTGAAGAGATGGATGGTGCGGCGAATGGCAGGATCTAACTTCCCGGAACGTGGTTTTGGTGCAACGCGAGAGCGCAAATAGTTTGTGGATTTTGGCGGATCTTTCCGGTGGAGCGTGGAGTGTGGAGGCGTAGATTTAGGGGATGGAGAGCATCACGAGCTACTTCACGGGGAAAGCTAAGGAGCCGGAGGGAAAGGTAAATTACGCCTGCCTCTCGCTTGTTTTTGGCACCAGAAATTTGGTAGGTCTCGTGGCGTGGATGATAGGGTGAGGAATTGCTGGTTTGCTGTGGTGTGTCCTATTAGGGTTGCTCTTCATGAGATGCACTTTCTATGGAGGGTTTCATTGATTTTCTGAAGTTATTGATTAGCCTAAGGCCTTTATGAGTTCGTTATTTGGCGCAGTTTTATTTTCTTTCATTGTAGGCTGTTGCAGTCTTCATGGTCTTCTATAGAGGATTGCATTGGAAGTTGGAGACATTTGCGGTTGATCTAATTCACTTAAGCTGGAAGGCGATTAAGGAAGGCGATAGAGTGCGCAAACGGTGAACCAATGGAAATCTAGATCATGACGAAGTATACGTGCAAAGTAGTTCGCTTATATTTTGTAGGTATTTTCGTCATGTGTTACGAAAATGCTGAACTGAATCGTGAATTCCATGTGCATTTTCTGACGTTTTTGCTTCTTTTTTTCTTTTCTTCTTACGTTTTTTTGCCAGATAGAGTTTTGGAACAACCCAGAACGGTCTGGCTGGCTCATGAAACAGGGTGAGTTATTTATTTATTGTTATTATTTTTCTTTTTCTTCTCTTCTTTCGCCCTTCTCTCCGCACTTTCATTAACACTCAGTGATTTACTTCTATTATTTAACAAACACCATTATTTATTTTGCATCATGCAATTCCTCTATCCTCCCGGCAATCTGGTTCTGAAGTGTTGGGATTCCATTTCTTGTTGAATCCGACTTTTGTTTCTCTTCAATTTCTGTGTACGTTCTGTCCGTGAAGTTATTTTGTTCTGTTCCATGATCAATATTGTGTTGGCATGCGTATAATTCTTCATCTACGAATTGAGTGGTGAGCTTGCCGTGAGCTTATTCACTTACCTCTTGCAATTTAGAACCAAGCTCATTTATGTGTTGAACTGATTGAATTGCAGGGGAGTTCATAAAAACATGGCGCAGGAGATGGTTTGTCTTGAAACAAGGACGCATCTTCTGGTTCAAAGAGCAACAGCTTACTCCTGTAATCATTATACCTTCCTCCGCGACAATGTGCTTTTTCCGGAAATCAGAGCAGTATCTATGGACATCATTCTAGAAATCCGTTCTAATATTGATGAATTCGTATTTTTGCAGCATTCAAAATCAAGAGGAGTCATTCTGGTGGGAAGCTGTTTGACGGTGAAGGGTGCTGAGGATGTGCTAAATAAACAGTTTGCATTTGAGCTTTCCACTAATAGGGATACAATGTATTTTATTGCGGACACAGACAAGGTAAGTTTTCGATATTTCCTATTTTTCATCTCTTACCTAGAGCTGTTGTAGTATGAACGTTTGGACTGTTCAGAACTGGCTTGCATATGTAGTCTTTGGTATCCTCTTGGTTGCTATTGTATCTTGCGGCCAACTCACCGCTTCATGTGAGCTCAAGCTTTGTGAGCCTATATTGTACAGTATTGACGCATGTTTTATGATACAGGAAAAAGAGGATTGGATCAATGCGATTGGTCGATCTATTGTCCGTCATTCCAGGTCGGTCACAGATGATGAGATCTTGGACTATGATAGCAAGGGTGCTTCATAAGAGCTCATTTTCTTTGGTGTTCTCTCCTGAATCGGTCGAGGTATTGGATGTAAGTCACTATCAAGCAACGCTTTTGGTCTTTGAAGTGGAAAGCCTGTTATTGTTCAGGCTTACCGTAGCCAAGTATTAGGGACTGATAGTTTACACCTAAAAAAAATGTGTTCACCGCGTTTGAAAAAGGGTTCAAGGATTCCTCTTTCCTGACTTTTCTAATAAATTCACTTGTAATAGATAGTATGACTTTGAAATTATATTGACATTAGTAGAGTTGGAAGAACGGTGTGTAATTCTCTTAAGGTCTATCATAGAAGTTCTTTATGATGTCGAGGCGAGAGAGGGATGAGAGTACTTAAGCTTTGTGGTGTTTGTATATATGGATAGGGTTGTACTGCTGGTACTTTCCACAGTGCATTTAGTGCCAAAATTGGTTGGTAGGAAGTAATGTTGGCTCTTATCACAAATATTAATGCAAATTTCTGTATTATAGCTATGCTATGACACACAATATCGATGCATGTTTCAATTTAGTTAATGCTTCATTCATTTTGTCTTGTTCTTGTAACTTGATATTATCACTTGTTACAGATCACTTATATTCTGGTCTCCTATCACAGTTTTCAAATGCAATTCAAACGCTTGTCATAATTAAACTGCAACCCGTCTCAGAGGTTGAGCAGTTTTACACTCATATTCGCTTTGCTAGCATCTGACTTTTCTGAGCATATGTGAACATTTGCATGTCTTGTTTGGTTACAACTTAAACTTCAAAATTTGCCAACAGATAATTGAGTTGAGGAATGTACCTGCTCGGATTACGTCCTAATTTATACAAAGATAATACTAATGTGATTCCATAGTGGTTTCAGGGAGCCGGAAAGGTCGTGACAATCGAGACGCGGCTCTTCATCTAAAGGTGGGCAGAGATAAACGTGTTCGCGTAACACAATGCCGCTGTCGCTGCATATGGTGGCTTACACCGCATTTTCTGACCGCCGCTGGAGACAATCCCGAGTCCCGAAGCCTCGATACTACCATAATATTTCTAAGGATACACAGGATACTCAGTGTGAAAAGTGATAATAGAGAGTGTCTGATTCTCAGCGGTAGTCACGGAGGTCTGACGGCTGCAAACAGCGGACATGGTACCTTACTGGAGCATAAAAGGTGGACCTCGATGGCCCCCCGCCGGATCACTATCAGAGCAGGAACGCCCCCAATTGTGCCACCAACAGTCACCGAACCTTGGCATCTGTCGAATCATTGGGTTCCACGCGCCACTAACTTAGATAGTAGGCATTTGTCAAATTACACATGGAGAACCTTGCGCCCGCATGCGTTGACTGCGTGAGGGTCACCACATAACAAATCTGCATTTAAGTTACGTTGACAGCAGTCTTTAGTTAACCTGACATCAGGACTTGAACAGCGCTCGAAATACCCATCAGCCACCATAAATAGTGCACTATAAGTTGAAGTAGGAGGACACTAACAGTAACGCTTTTTTTCTTGTTTTCAGAGGACATGGTGGGGAATATTGACAGACACGTGTGTGGAAGTGCTTTGATGCTCACGAACGGATGTCAATAGGTGTGACGGTTGGGTGATGACTGGACTATAGAGGGCTTCGAAACAGACCATCGCCCGCTTGCTCAAACTTTTATGTATGTCCATACCTGTTGGTGGAGCCAACAGTGGCAATGAAGCTGCCAAGCATGCATCTGTAGCAGCTGGAGCCCGCCACGGTAAACTTTCGTCCGTTCTTCCCTCCATGTTGATAACATCGAATCACACTATGTTCTGGAAATTTTCGACGGCCGACGCAGGCGTGGCAAGTTCTTAGAAGCTTGTTTCCAGTTTTGGATTAGATTCATGGTAGGTAACGCTAGTCCATCGTGACGATCGACCATGCCACTGAGGGTGCAGCTGCCCACCCCAAAGACCAGCATAAATTCGAGCAGCTGGGTGAAAAGGAAATCGGATTCAGGACTGTGGGACAGTTTTTCAGAGTCATTGTGTTGCATCTGTGACTGTCCCAACCATTCCTTGAGTCTCGATTCTGCTCAGAACTGCGTATGCATCGCATTTTGATTTGTGAGCCTGGTTTCTAACAGCATCTATTTACACCCATTGCTGCTGCGTGCTCCCGGGTAAGAAAAACATGACCGTGATGGGTCTGGAGACGTTTATGTCTGGGTGTGGTCAGATAGTCATGCCCACTGGGATGTCCAACCTTCTCACTCTGTTGGTTGCGATCCAAGCAGCAGCTTTAGCATCTTCTGATGGAAGCCTTAGGTATGACCCCAAATACTACGTTGACATTCCTTTGCGTTTTTCGGTGAAAGAGACCACTCTAGCTTTTGATGCGCTACCACGCTCGCAGAACAATACCATTCCACCAAGTTTGTAATCTCCACCTTTCAAGTATTGTTTTGTACTTTATTACCTGAATGTGTGAGTCTCTTGACATTGCTGACGAAGTTGAGGAGACATTTCTTGCAATGCAAGATGTTGAGTGAACACCTTGAGCTTGGGATTTTGTTCTCATTGTGACAGTCACGATTAGCCATAGACTTGGACTTCTACGTTTATTGACTAGTTAGAAAGAGAAATGAGGTATTAGTTGTAGACACTTCTTACGTGTGCCAAACAGAAATCATATTCAATATTTCAGGGTAGAATAGTTGTAGTTGCGAACAGAACTTGTCATATGTTGCTTGATGAGAGTACTGACGCCTCAGAGAATGGTTGTAGTGAAATCTGGCTTTGATAATATAATTCGTAACTGAATGTACGAGTGTATTCAATTGGCCGGTATGATCACGCTGCCTCTTTGCCGAGTTTGACAATGTCCGAATGATAGTTCTTATAGATTCTAGATCGGGTACGTAGGACCTGTTGAAAATTAGAAAGATTCGACTTGACAAGGCAATAGCTTTAGAACATTGGAGGGATGTGTGTTGCTCTCAGCTACACTCGAAAAGCCAAGGCTCTACTGTTGTGTGTACGTGTTATACACAAACCTGAACGTCATGTGACATATTGCTTTTCTTTTCACTGATAACTTCTATAAACAAAATGCTCGTTTGTTGTGTATCAGAAGCACTGGACCAGTTTGTGAAGCAGTTCTTCGATGTAGCAGGGAATGATTTGATCCCATCCACTCCCAAGGATTTCAATCCAAGCCCTCCAAATTTTCTACCCCAGGTTCAGAACGCCTACGCACGTAAATGGGCTCTGAAAGTCCATGGGTTATGGTTAGAGCTTACTCGAAAAGTCTCACCTTCTGTAGCCAAAGAACCAAACCAGCATACTTTGCTTCCGCTCAACTACTCTGTTGTGATACCTGGTGAGCGGTTCAAAGAAGCTTACTACTGGGATAGCTATTGGGTTATCAAGTACGCCATCTGAACTCCGAACTTCATCTTCGCAGTCTTAGCGACGTGCTCTTGATATGTTGCTAAGATGAAGATGCTTGATTGTATCAACATAAGCGTAGGAATGGTTCAGCAACTGATCACTTCCTACCTATATTCTAGTTGTTTAATGATACAATCATGGTAATCCAATCAAGAATTTCATGGACATGTGTTGCGAGTTGAATGGAAAGTTTCTAGTCAAGTATAACTGCGTGTTAAGAGCTGTGCAGTTGGCGATGACTGGCGTCTTCAGTGTAATTTGTATATGCTGGTTTCCTTTGTCAATATCAAGGACCCTACTCACTCGAGTTGGGTTGTATTTTTTCTTATTTAATTGCAGAGGTTTACTTGTAAGCGGCATGACGGACACTGCTAAGGGAGTGATTGAGAATTTAATGGAGCTTGTGGAGAGGTACGGCTTCGTGCCAAACGGAGCTCGTGTTTATTATGAGAATAGAAGGTACGTTTTTCATGCTCCGTTTAATTCCGTATCAAGTGAACTTGAGCTACGATGTACTTAATTATTTATTCTGATTCGTGTGGATAGCTCAGTTTGAGCAAACATTCATCTACAATCATGCTCTGTTTTGTCGATTTTCGAGAGAAAATTTGGTGATTTAAAAGTCACGGAATGGTATTGGAAGCTGAGGTTTATTACGTTGGTTTTTGTCGAAAAGCCAACCTCCACTGCTGAGTATGATGATCCGTGCTGTGTACGGCAAAACTCGCGACCAGACTTTACTCAAGCGAGCTATGCCAATTCTTCTGAAGGAGTATGCATTTTGGACTTCAGGTAAGGCTCCTATACTAATATCAACTGAGTGATTGTGAAAGAAGCTCAACTTCTGTTCTTTTATTCCGAGAACACAGATGTACAGTTGGCATTTCAGACTAATGGAAGAGAGCAAATTCTCATTCGGGACTGTTCATTCAGGGCGGCATGAGGTCAAGGTGCGGGACAACAATGGTGATGAACATCGCCTCAGTCGCTTTTGGGCTAATTGGGACGCTCCACGGCCTGAATCTTTCACCATTGTAAGAGACTCCTTCCAAGCCCATCGAGTAAAAACTCCGACCCTGTTGGTTACGAGAAATCTCTCATCATCATGTTGCCTTGAAATGATGCTACCTTGAGTGCAGGACGTAAATGTGACTCAAGGGATGAGCAAAAGTAGGGAAGCCCAACTGTATCATGATATTGCAACAGCTGCTGAGTCCGGCTGGGATTTCAGTTCTCGATGGATGGAGTGAGTTCTTTGAGCAGTTTTTCAAGCTTCTATTGAGTGATATAAATTCTGGCTTCTGTAGACCTTTGCTGATGTGGATGCTGAGTCTTTAGGCTCTCTTCCGGCAGTAACAGATACACAGTTTGTGATGGTTTTGTTAAATGTCATCAACATCACGCTTTCAGCGTTGAAAGCGTTCGGACTTCACGCTGATAGTTTGGCTTATCTGGGTTTGTTGTGTTTTTCTGTTCGTTTAAGTAATTGATGTACCTTCCTTGTAATCTATTGTAACTGTGACAGAGACGGACAAAACCTGAAAACTCTTCGGACATCCAAGATCATCCCCGTAGACCTGAACGCCTATCTTTTCCAGGTGCGCTTTTTTTAAAGTAAGAACGTTAGAATCCCTCTCAACAGGTGCTATTAGTTTCAGTAATTATATCAGATTGCTGAAGATGCTTTCTACTGTGGATGGGCAGATGGAGAAGAACATTGAGTACTTTGCGAAAATACTTGGCAATCAGACCACTGAGATGCGGTTTGCGATTGCGGCGAAGGACCGTCAGAGGGCGATTCAAAAGGTTCTTTGGAATAGGAAGAAGGGCCAGTGGTATGACGTTTGGCTACACCCGAACCGTTGTAGTTACAGCGAAACAGACAACAGAACGGTGAGATATGGCCTGCTTCTACGTTAATGAGAAGAAACTTTTCGTGTTCATGGTAATCATCTACTAAAAGAATCCACATATGCGGTGACATAAGAAATATGAATAACACCCTTGTAGCACTTCCATGTCACTGATGAACATGTTAGATCGTGTGTTCTTGACAGCAAATAACTAGTGGACGACTTAATTGCCTTCACATACTTTTTGAAATAGTTATTTACTGGAGACTTGAAACTTTGTAGGTTGTTTTTGAGTGGAAGCAGAAGAGACGTACTTATATCTCAAATTTTATTCCTCTTTGGGCCGGCATTTTACCCAAAGGTACTCTACCGCTCTCAACATTACCTTAAAAAAGCTTTTGCTGTAAGTGTGCTAGGTTTGTTTTCTCTCAAACGTTTACTGTTGGCGTAATGGTCATCTTGAGTTCGATTGTCAGCGCTGTAGAGGTTGATTATCCTCGAGCTCGTTCAAAGATCCATATGAAATTTCTACAGACGCTTATAGTCCTATAGTAATGGGAGAACGCAATATTTATGTTGTACCAGGAGACGTGAGGAAGGAGAAGGTCATTGAAGCACTGCTCGACTCTGGGCTGGTACTTCCAGCAGGTGTTGCAACATCGCTGAAGAATACTGGTCAACAATGGTACGCCATTCCTCCTATCGCAGCACTATTCTGAGTATTATTTGGAAGTCCACAGGTGAAAATGAAAGTGGCACGAAGAACTTTGCACTTTCACTAAAATCTTATCTTAATTATCACTCAAGCAAAGCGTTCATTCAGGCAAGATAGATTTTAAGAACAATAAAAATTAAATTCAATTCTTTCACGTCATCCCGCAGCTCGTTTTACTAACATAAACCGCTTTTAAGACTCTTCTGGAATGAAATTAAGACTCTCATGGACAGGGATTTTCCGAATGCATGGGCGCCCATGGTCGATATGATTATTGAAGGTCTAGAAGCAAGTGGATTTTTGACCGGAAAATTGATGGCGAAGAACATTTCTCGGAACTGGCTGCGTTCAAATTATGTGGCTTATGAACAGGTCGGGAAGATGGTGGAAAAATATGACGCTACTAGTTGTGGGAAGATTGGTGGTGGTGGAGAATATAATCCACAGGTAAGTCATCGCATGCTGGCCTAACACTTGCATCTTTTTGAACCAATCATTGTGAACCCTACAATTATTAGGATGAGAAATTGAGGTAACCAATTAATTGATGCAACAATGCAATTTTCCGATTAAAACCTGAAGGATACACGGGGAATAAGTCCAAGTATTGAGAGCACAAAAACAGGTGCGACTTCAAATTGTACATTTATAGATAGATATATAGATAGATAGATAGATAGATAGATCTATAGATAGATCTTAAATTTAGTAGTCGGAAATGGGGCATGTCAGGAATGGGTCTCATCATTTGAAGTGGTCTAGTTACTTTTGTAGTATGAATTCAACACATTTGATGTGAGCAAAAGTAACAGGTTGGTAGAAGTAGATACTCGAGAGCTGTCCAATAAACCTAGATGTGTTGAGAAATTCAGACCTCCCTGCAATGACTAGATTTCTGTGAACGACTTTTGCTGATCGTGCTTGGGATGGTTGTGCACTATAATTGTTGTGCTGGCAGACAGGTTTTGGGTGGAGTAATGGTGTTGTCTTGTCTCTTCTGCACAAGTATGGGTGGCCTGCCAATGAACCATTTATCTGCGAAGATCAGTTGGAGATTAGATAGCACCGTTCTAGAGTGGAACCCATTAGCACTAGATGTAGGCTGTCAACTACAAGGTGGTAACAGGTACCATTTTTGGCACGAATATGTAACAATTATTGCGGATCATGTATATAAATCTGACTCTTCCAAGTCCAATTCCAGAGTTCTTCAAACTTTTCAAAAAGTCAATCTTAAAGGTTTGTTTGAAAAATGTGCATGTTCTCAGCATCAGGAAGTGAAAAGGTGTAATGTTGGTAATTGGGGCCTATGGTTTGGATCCTCTTCTTTGAATCCACACCTTCTATTTTCCACATCCTTTCAAATAATGCTTAGGTGTAGATGCAACAGTTGCATGGGACATGTAGTGCTTTTCCCTTTTGAACCCTGGAACCTGAATTGTCCTGATCCTCGGACTCCATGTCACAGCAGCAGCATCATGATTAGAATTTCAACTGTCAAGAATAGAGAATACAAACCAGCTGATACCACAAGTGTAGCCGGCAATAATGCTGTTCAGGTCCTTGGGACTGACTACAGAGCCTCCTTATCAGTCTATTGGGATCATGATTATCTTCATAATCTCCACAATCAAGAAACCCTAAAATAGCCCTAAGACTTGGTCAACTAAATTTTGGTTTGTTTTCTTTTTCGTCTCATTTTGTTTACGATATTAGTAAGGGAAAGCTGACTACAACAAACGAAGGTGAGAAAAATAGTATTGAATAGTATTGAATAGTATAGAGGTCTTGTGAAACCTTATCAATCCAGTAAGCTCTCATAGAAAGCCGTGAAGCTGCTCAATTATCATATGATTGAGATGACTGCGTCAAGGTGTTAACACTTCGCAGGGATTTCAATCAAATTTTGATCGACAGCTGTTAACTGAGAGGTTCAAGCAAATCTTTGAAGTGCCGGCAACCGTGAAGAACGCTGAGAAATCTAGTCGATAGTGGTCATAGCATATCCCTTCCATGATCCCTTAACTCATTAGATGCCAGTGTGATAACTTCATAGCTGTGATCACCTCAAGCTGCAGGCAGCCAGAATCAGTCCTGAATAAAAAGCATGACCAGAAACCATATTCTCAAATGATGAGAATGTAAGATGAAGCTTGCCGATACACCTGAATGCATTATTCTTGACTCTATTACATCGAGCGGATGGGGGTTTGGACAAATTCAGCTGAGTTGGTTGCGTCGGCACGTAAACTGATATTAGATCAGATATCTCTGCATGATCTGAAATCCCAAACCTAAATCCCAAACCACTCTGATCCAATATCAATACACGACCAGCAACATTCAAGCTGTAACCATGATTCTTACAACCTGATTATAATTCGCAGGTGTACACAACGACGTGCGTAGCTGCATGTGGCAGGTGGGGTCCTCTCCAATTTCTCACCGACATCTTGCAGCTACATTTTGCTTTCCTTTTCCCTTGAGTTGCTACCCCCTATATCTTTTCCTGGTCTTTCTACCCCACCTCCCTTCGATGCTGAAACAAAAAATTTCCTACTGATTTTCGAGAGAGGAGGCGAGAAAGTTCAACTGAGCAAGTAGGGGAGTGGGTGAACTGCCTAAGAAGCAGTCAAGAATATTGTCTTTTCACAATATGCTAGAATGGTCACCTACAGTGGGAAAATATGTTCGGATGGGGCATCTACGGCCTTGAATTTGAGTTCAAAGGTAAGTGCAATTGGCAGGCATATGTATGAATGCATATAGTGGAAGATATACTTAATTCTTCAAATCAATTTCTAGAATAATCTTTTTTTATTTATGATTTTTTTTATATTAGAAACTTCTACAGTATAGTTAGTATTCTTGAACAAGTCCAATGTGGTAGTTTCATTTCTTGCCAATACTTTACCACAATTTTTCTCTATTCTATTTGTTTTGGTATTTGGTCTTCAATCAAAGGAATATTTCAATTAAAATACATATACATCATGGATATTTATGATCTAATTCTTGATGTTGGTGGATTTTTATTAAGTTGGTCTTTTGAAGGAGAAGAGTTACTTTGTATAATCTTTCTTTTCATTATTGACTCTTCATTAGTCCATCTCTTGTCTTCTTAGAAAACTATATTACTTTCTTATAGTACTTTCCTTATGACCACAAATGATTGGTTAGAAGCACTTTGAATTAAAGCTTTTAATATACTAGGACTTGTGATGAATGGATTATTTGAAAAGTTGAAAAGGCTAGTTATGTTAAGAAACTCTACTAATGGATTTATTTTTTTGCTCTTATTAATTTATATTTTGATCTTTTCTAAATATCTAGTATTTTTTCTTAGTTATTTCAACTTCTTGGCATAACTTGCATTATTATTATTGAATGGTTTTTCTTAAGCTACGATGATAGCTTTACTAAATTGCTATAATATATAGGTATTCTATGAATCTTTTCTTGCATATTTTTTTTTATATTGTAGTATTAACTTATATCTTTTATATTTTTTTCTTGGCCACTACTTCAATATATTAAATACATTAGATTTGTTTATTTATTTATAAATTATTTCTTATCTATTATATTTTATTTTTTGTGATTTAATACAACTCAATTTTTTTCTTTGATACTAATTTTTTAATTTTTAGTATCTCTTAAATTTTTAGCTATGATTGTATTGTTTGTTTTTTTACACTTTTATATATTCTATTTGCTAGACTTAGATGGCTTCTATTAACTTTATTACTAATATTGTTGATAATTGATCTAGTTGCTTTGAATACAATGGTGATTTTTGCCATGTAATTAAAGTAGATATTTTGTATTATTAAATTTTTCTTATTATGTAAACAAAGATTATTATACATAATTAAATAAGTACCAAAAATTATCATCAAATATGCAATTAAAATCAAATAGTAATGCAAAGCAAACATATTCTTCAGTGCCCCTTTCCTAGTTGATTAAGAACCCTACCAATTAGCTAGAATAATAATACACATGCAGTTAGAAATAAATTCTACAATGATGTTGCAAAAGTATACACAACCAAGTCAATATTGTAGAAAATAGATTGTCAAAATGGGTGGCATATATTAATAAAAGAGACTTCAACCTTTATTAGAAGATGAAACATGGCTAAAAGATCTTCAATTACAAAGACAAATCCAATCTCTTGAAAAAAGATTTGAAAGAGGTCTTATCAAGCATGCCATATGTCACCTTTATTGGCATTGGTGATATTCTAGTATGGTAGCAATTTCTTTCGTTTCACTACACACATAAATAATAGATGCCATCTATTATAATTTTTAATTTAAGATATACAAAATCATCAATAAAAATATGACAATGAAAATAATTCTTTAAATGTTTTTAATATTCTTATCTATTTTTACTTTCAAGTAATAAAATACCACTAAAAAAAATATGTCTTTTATACCAAAGAATTATATAATCAGCTTTAATATCAAATATTGTATATACTTCATATTACAAATACACATAATCTCTCTTAAAAAATCTCTACAAATAAGATTAATAAGCTATACTCTGGATACAATTATATTATAAGGTATCACAATGTTGAGCAATAGATAAGTTCTCTATAATTATTGATATGGCCTTTTGTTAAGGATATGAATCATAAAGAATCAAAAGCTCAATACACTCTTATATCACTAGAAAAGAATAGATCATCATTCAAAGGTGACATAATTTTAAAACTAGAATAACTATTATCAAAAGCAAGAAGATTAAAAAAATCTTAAAACAAGATTAAGAAAAAAAAGAACATTAATAAGAATAAAGAAGGCCTTAGACTTGCTTCCATATATGCTATTTAATTAAAAATTCTATGACAACATTCTATAGGAACTCCAAGACATGCCTAACTTGTGGGATACATGTCTAATTTACAAGATAATTTTTATACAAGTATATTATATGGCCAGCTTATATCATAAGTCGTCAACATGTACCACAACTTACCAATATGTACAACATGTGGCCAACTTGTTGGTTAACTTTTCAATCTAGTAATCTCCTTCAAACACGTATTAAATCAAATATGTGACTTTAAAGTTTTTTATTTTTTTTATTTATAAGATACTATAAAATTTACTTATTTTTAAATTTTTTATTTAACTTCTTTAATTTAAATAAATATATGTCTCTAATACCTTCTTAAAAAACTTTGTTTAATCATACATGTATTGAATTCAAATATTAGCATCGTCTAAGTCTACGATTGGAACAACCTTTTCACATACTAAACTTGGTGGAATTGTCTCTTATTTATACAATACCTGATAAAAACTATAAGATATCAAAGATCATTGATTGCTAAACAATAATCTATTGTGATTGACAATGACATAAAATTTCAATTACAATGGTTGCTATGAAGTAATTCATATTTTTATAAATCACACTTGAGGGTTTGAACAACTTATTCAATTAAGCCATTTGCTTCATAATGATTTCTAAAAGTGGTGGAATGATCCATCAAAGCTTTGGTATATAAAATGTCAAAAGCTTTAAGAAACTTTCTTCTTTGATCAATTAAGAAGATTTCAACAAGTTGTCCAAAGTGTGCTAATACACAATTATAAAAGCTATAGCTACTAATTTTGAAGAATTTTGTGGCAAATCCTTAACTTTAATCCACTTTCTAAAATGCTCTATTATCATCAATATATGCTTAGTTCTACGTGAAGTGACAATAAACAGACCAACAAGGTCTAAAGACCAATTGTAATTCAAACCTGTAATAGATAAAGGCTTCAATTGAGGTAATAAAGTTTTAAAACTTAACATGACAGAATTACATGCTTCATATAGAAAAACAAATATGACAACTTGTTGATACGTGCCAATCTATCAATATTAATTGTACAATGTAAAATGTGTCTTGTACATGTCAAAATATCTAAATTCTTCATATACTTTTTGTACTAAAGAAGCTTTTTGATCTAACCTTTGAACTTTGTGAGAAAGTTCCATCAAACCTACTATAAAATAACAAATTATTCTCTCAACTATACTTGGTTATTTGATGATTAATCCTATTTTATTCCATAGTAAATATATGTGAAGAACATGTTCCTTATTGAAGCTTGAATAAGATTGCAAGGTCCTTCCATACATTATTAACTACTTAGATTTTATTAGATTCATTATCTAAGTATTGATCATATGCTAAAAATATAGAGATTGATATGAAAGTAAGATTTGTTGCATACCATCTAGCTCTGATAAAATCTTTTTTTAAAGAACTTGGATATAAGAAAGTCTATTTGCATCTAAATTAGTAATATTTATCTAATGTACAATCTCAAAATTAAATTCCAAAAGCAACAATGTCTATGTAATAAACTTATTAATAAGTTTTTTTTTTTTTATTTAATTCTATAAGAAATTTAAATGGTTGATAGTTAATCACCAATATAAACCATTTTCCATACAAATAAAGTCAAAAGTAAGCAATGGTCTAAGTTACTGCCAAAACTTCTCCTTCATAAGATAAATAATTAAACTTTGCATTGTTATTGCCTCTAAAATTTAGTTAATGCATTCTTGAGACTAAAAAAAAGAAACTTCTAGTAATAGAATTAATTCTTATCATCTTAATTAACTTTTTAAAATATTATCTTTACTAAAT